GGCTAGGGGGCCGAGCGCTGCGGCCACGGGTTAGGTTAAGTTAAGACACTTCTTGTCAGACTCATGTACAAAATTGATAGGAGGGGGGCGTCCAAAATTCGTTTTCTATGACAGACCCAAAAAAGAAGTACAATTGACAGGGATTTATTTAAATTTCTTTTAATTTGCAACTTTGACATGTTATCTAAGATTTTACTTTTTAAATGGATTTTTTTTTATTTCAAGTAACCCTACATTTCAACCAACTACATGTTCGATTCAAAACAGCCACCTTTAAACTTGCACATTTTTTAAAAGGAAAATACTGGAAGAGATAAATTCTTGTTATATTTATTCCACAATTGAAGTTCAGGATATTTATATAATTTCTTAAGGTTTTAGGGCTGACTATTGTGAACCTCTTGAAGAGGAATGGTTTTAATCCATAATTGTGTCAGCAATTCATTAAATTTCATTATTAAAGATTTGTTAAAACTTTTCTTGTCAAATATACAAAATTTGGGATCAAACATATTAGGTCAACGAATTTCAGTTGAATAGCTGTAATATACAGTTTCCTTAATTTTCTAGAACACTGTCATGAAATAAATCTAATTAGCGTGAAATCGTAATATAATATTCTTTGCCTACAGTAAACTTTATGGCGAGTAATGAAATTATTCATGTTATTTCCTAAATCTGCAAGCATCAGGGATTTGAGAGACTTGACCTCGTTTAGCTTTTCTGTATAGATGTCCTGACAATAAACTTTGATAATAAACATGAGAGTTCATTGACAAAACACCCCCCCCCCCCCCCCTCCCTACATTTAGTGTATTTTTTTGGAAGATTTTATACTACTTTAATTTAAAGGGTTGGGAAAGGTTTTAGAGGATAGCAGAAAAATAGCTTGCATGTTATAATCAAACTTTCACTCTATTTTTATCCCCTGAAGCTTTGGGGGAAAAAAATCACTTAAATTAGAAAGACATTTAAGATGCCAATTAACAAAATTCAAGTGAGAACTTTTCACCAAGGGCAAGAAGTATTTTTGTTTGGCATAATATTAAAGAAATTGTTATAGCTTAAAGTGGATAATTTAAAGTTTTGAAGCTAACCATTTTTTTCCACGCAGGTGAAACAAAGTTCCAAAATTTTGTACATTTTTACCCCCCCCCCCCCCCCCCCCCCCCGAGATTATAGAAGGAGATTTAACGGATATAAACGAGAAATATTGTGAAGATGACATAATTTGTTTTTGTTAAAGAACACTTCAGAAAACTATTCTCCTTCTCTACAAAATGCCAATGTTGGGCCTTTGTCTCCTAAATTTGACATGGGTGGGGGCAAAAAACGTATTTCTCTACGGAAAATTTAATTGGTGCTTAAACATTTAACGTAGAATTGTAGTAGAACGCTGATTTTTTGCATGTGAACTAATGTATTGTCACTGAAAATCCAGTTCTATCAAAATCTGAGAAAAAGAAACTTAGCACAGGTTTGCATATTGTATGTTGATTTATCGGTAATTTAGCACCAGGAATCATCATTTCTAAGGTCAATAAGAATATTCAATACTGGGACATTTTAGTCAGCACACTTAGAGTCAGCTGTTTTGTGGATTTCATTTCTGAGATCAAAACCGACATCAAAGCGTAGTAATAGAAAGGCATTAAATTATGGGTCATCTTGCCACACATTTTTTGTGATGTATGTTGAAATACAGGTAATTGGGCATGAGGATTTCTTTTCCGAGGTCAAAATTAATGTTGGAGCATTCTGACCCGCTAGATAATAGCCAGCTGTACCGTTATGGGTCATCATAGTACAGATTTTACATGTTGCATGTCGATTTATAGAAATTAAGCATGAGGAATTCATTTAAGAGGTCAAAATAAATATTGGAGAATTCTGACCGGCCAGCCAATAGCCAGCTGTTTCGTTATGGGTCATCTACAAATTTTACAATGTCAATTCATAGAAATTAGGGACGAAGAATTCATTTCTGAGGTCTAAATAAATATGGGAGCAGTCTGACCGGTGCACTTGTGGTCAAGAGTTAGGTTATGGGCCATTTTACAACATATTTTGCATGGTGTATGTCAAAATAAAGGTGATTGAGCACAATTAGTTCATTTTCTTGGCTAAAAATGGAAAGCACCTTCAAACTAGCAGCCTGCAGCTACCTGTTTTGATTGGTAACTAGACCCAAGGATTTTATGCTAAACAATTATGTTTGATCATTATGATCGGCGCGCTGCTAGCAAGTAGGTAGTTATTGGGTCAACTTATCTTACAGTGATAACCAGAAAACTTTGGTATAGGAAAACGACCAATATACTTCAGAATGAACATGAGACACAGCAATTGTTTACGGTAATAAGGAATTTACTAAGTTACTAGTAACCCTATTTGTTTAGTAACATCAAATAGATTAAATCATTGCTATAATGTCGTCTTCCTATTCAATGATTTTCTGGATATTAATGTATTTATTCATGTTGAATGTCATCTTTTTTAGATGATTTGACCTGAGGAATACATGTTCTCAAAGCTAGTTTTTAAGCACGCTAGAATCCATGATATTAATAATGGATCATTTTACTGAAGTTTTCTCAGAAGTACTAGCTCCATAATTTATCAAACTCAAATCAAGACATTTCCCATATCTTCCATTTTAAATATAATGGTTAATTATTTTCAGATTCTATTGACCAGGATTTTGAGAATTCTGAATATGTTTTCCGATAAATCATGCATTTTGGTAGGATGAACCAAAGTTAATATTGGATGACCACTAGTGTTATCAGATTTCTTTTCTGGTTATTTACCCTAGACTGATTTCTCTAGTGTGATACCTAATTACTGACATACTACATTAACAAACATTGTATATAGTCCATTAATATACTAATATGTCCTCGAGCAATGCCACCTAAGTTCAGGGTGGCCAAAACTTTTTTGAAAAAATCCGTACATTTTCAGAAAAAATCTGTACAATCCGTACAATTTTTGAAAACAAATCCGTACAATCCATACAATTTTCGGAAAAAAACTGTACAATCCATACATTAAAAAAGAATCCGTAATAGAGAACTAGAGAACTAGAGAGCTACAGAGCTAGATAGCTAGAGAGCTAGAGAACTAGAGAACTAGAGAACTAGAGAACTAGAGAACTAGAGAACTAGAGAACTAGAGAACTAGAGAACTAGAGAACTAGATCCCCCTCCCTTCGACGTCGGTTCATGTTGTATCAAAAATAGTTTGAATGACTTCAAATCGTTAAAAGAATATGAATTAAAAGTTTATTCCTCGATGGATTCTGTCAGCGTTTCAATAATCTCCTCGCCCTTCTTGGAAACCCTCTGCTCGTTGAAATCCTGCAGATGGAGCTGATACTCAATCCTACCTATCCCAGACCTAGAGAAATATTTGTATGCAGATTATAAATTTTACCAACCTGTATGAGCAGAATTTGAGAACGTGTTTATTCTTATTCCTTTCAAGGTAACTTTCTAGTTCCTAGGGAACGCTTTTTGGAACCATAGCCCCCTTCAGAAAACTATTCTCNGACATGTGGTCGCAGAGCCCTAATCTGTCCCAACCGCGTAGGTAATTCCCTAGGACCTAGAGAGAAATTTTTGGACCCCCTCCCCTCTCGTTATCAATTTTGAACATGGATCTCATATGCAATATAATAATTGATCATGTGGCCGCATTGCCCGCCCCCTAGCCTGTCCTTGCCGCGGCGCTCAGCCCCCTAGCCGCAGCGCTCGGCCCAGAAATCGTCATAACCTAATCTAACCCTAAATATTAAAAACTAAATAATAATAAATTCGCTGATAATAAGTGGTCATGTACAAAATTGATAAGAGGGGGGTCCAAAAATCGTTTACTAGGACGGACCCCAACTGTATCCCAAGGGAGAGGGGGGAAGTCCAAAAAAAACGTTCTCTAGAACAGCCCCCCCTCCCCAAAAAAGAGCACTGGAGAGAAAGTAGATAGCCGATTTCTGAAATTATACGTGTTTTTGTTTCATTTAAACTTTTTCTTATTAAATTGTAAATAACTTTTAAATTATAGAACCACATGAAAATGACATTGAAAATGTCCTGCACAGTTAGGATTTTGGTTGGTTTAATAAGAGTTTTGAATCCTAATCCGCGCCTTACCTTAATCTTTTCTTCAGTGTCTCAAAATCTTTTAAACTCATTTTATATGCAGTTGATTTGTAAGGTCTAAAAGAATACAATGTTATTAACAAAATTTTCGGAATATGGGTAAATGATTTTCCTTTTTATCGGATGAGGGAGAATTCGCGAACATGAAACTGTGAAATTGAAAGAATTGAAAGCTAGAAAAAAAATTTGCTTGTAAATCCTAGATTGATAAACGTTAATTTCTATGCACTTGGGCGGGCGACTTAAATGTAATTATATATAATATTGACGAGGCAAATAATATACGAGTCAGAATAGTCAGAAGTAAATCCTAGAACGAGTTTTTTTATTTGATATATGCCATTGTATGGCTGAATTAAGACTTTGAAGAATTTCACAATGCTGAATGCGAAATCGAAAATTCCGCCGCTGGTTGCAATTGCATCTGCCCTTGCACGTGATTTAATTTAAAGTTTTTTGCACTGTTAAAGATAAAAAGATATAATCATAAAAAATAAAAATCATCTTTCTTATTGTAAAACACTATCATACATGAGTAAAAAGTACATTTTTGCATTTTAAAAAAAATTAAAGAAGAATTAATATTTTCAGTGTAAAGTTAAAAGTTGCAACATTTGTTGTCGTCGTTGCTCATGACAAATTTATGAATGCCGCGTTCATCGTTGTTTATATTTTTGTTGCGCCGTTTAATTCTCGTTTTATTTTTTCTATGTTAATTTAATGGTTAGTAGTATTATGGTAAAGTATACTTATAGTTGATTAATTGAGTTCAGAATGTTAGAGTATGTGTTCATTATTTTGACTTCTTGCAGTTGCAACTGAATCCGATAGACCGCGCCACACAATCAAAGTTTTGAATACAAATACAATTTCAGTTAAATTTTATTTGCACTCTTTGGGGTTTATTGACTTAGGATGTAGTTAGGGAAGTCTTAATGAAGCCTCATAGATGATGTTTTGGTTTTAACAATGCATTAAAACTAGCTTAATCATACTTTTATTCGAAAAACCACCAATTTTATTGTCTTAAGGGATTGTAGGCGTAAGTTCAAGTAACATTATAGTAAGTCCTAGTATACGATTTTTGGACCCATCCCCCCCTCATATCAATTTTGTACAAGACCGCTAATTTTCAGCAAAATTATCATTTTTTATTATTTAGGGTTAGGTTATAGGTTTAGACGATTTCTGGGCCGAGCCCTGCGGCTAGTACAGACTGGGGGGCCGGGCGCTGGGCCACATGACCAATTTTATCCATGTGTAACATAAGAGAATCATGCACAATATCAATAAGGGGGTTGGGGACCAAAAATCGTTCTACAGGAAATTACCGTTGAACTCATTTAAGCGGTTTTTATATTTAAGAAATGACTTTAAAATCTGTAAGGGTTTTTGTAAATGATGAAAATAAGCATCTTAATTAGCGGTATCGTTTCTCTTTCGGGATATTTAACCAAAGATACATTTAAAATGAGAAGTGTGAGTCCCTGCATTATTTCAGACGTAAGATGGGATTATTCTAGAACTTCTGGAGAGTATGGAGAGGCTTGAGGAGGATGTTGGTGAGCTATGTGAGCTTCTGAGCCACTTGGAATCATCTCCAGGAGATATTCAAACTCTTAATTCAGCTGAATTATGTAAGTTAAAAGACAGATAAACATGATTTTTCTATAATTGAGGGTGATTTCTTAGAGAAACGTTTTCTGGACCCCACCCCCCGCTCGGCCCCCTAGCCTGTCCTAGCCGCAACGCTCGGTCCAGAAATTGTCTTAACATAACTCTTAAAATATTACTAAATAATAATTATTTTTTATTTATATTGGATATTGGTCATGTACAAACTTGATAGGGGGGGTCAGTCAGTTCTTTAATGCACTGTTTCAAGCTAAACCATGTCAAGCTATTCATTAAATCTGGTCCCATATATTTTTTTCTCTTAGAACCACACATATTCTAAGCACTGAAAATAGCCTAGTTGTCTGTTATATGTCTTAATTTATAATTGTAGTGGCGAGATCTGTGTATGGCTTATTATCTGAACTTAGAACATTAAACGATGATTTTCCCTGGCTCAGTTTTATCGGGACTGACGGACTTTTCCCCAAACTCAAGAAGATTGCAGGTCAATTATTAGATTATGTTTTTTTTTATAAAAAATAGATTTTTTATATTCTTAACCTCTTATAAATATCGTTCTGAATTCTACTTTATCTTATTCAGGAGAGAAAGATTTTGCCAACATTCTGCAGGATGTTCTCCGTCTACTTGTTTTACTCCTGGAGAAGAATCCTGAGCAGTTCAAGCAACACCTCGCAGACTTTCAGGTTCAGAATATTCGAGCATGTTAAAGATGAACATTTATATGTCATCCGGGAAGTTCCCCCTTGACTTTCTATCTATCCTAACCTAACCTTGAATAGTATAATCACGGATTGTAGCTCTTTTTACTCTTGTTATTCTTGTGCTCATAATCAATGATTTCATCAGGTTTTGAGCGATTCTCTGTACTTTATGAACCCTGCTGCAAAGGTGAAGGTCGAGGGACTAAAATTACTTCAATTCTGTATTCCAGGCTTGAAAGATCAGGTTAGGCACTTTTAATAAGATATATTTATACCAAAAATTAGAATAAAAAAATCTTTAAAAACTGTAACTTTGTGTTTACATTTCTAGATCAGCAATGATTTTGTCAAACCTTTTCAGGATGTTTTCGACGCGGAAAAAGTTGCTGATCGATACTTCCGAGAACTGGCTCGTACGTCGAAACTAAGTTCAACGGTGTCGAGTCAGCTCCGTCAAATGTTGGCAAGATTATGTCAGTTCTACCCAGTGAGGTAGGTTTAATGTTTATCATTTTAGTAGATAACAGTTTTCATTTTTATCAAATTCTTTTACTCACTTAAAATGTATTGTCAACGTTGTTGACAATGAAGATTACATGATTCTTTGACGGTTGATAATAATAATAATAATAATAATATGAGTATTCTAACAAGTAATTATATTTGAATATATATCTAATTTTGAATTTGATATTCGTTATCTCTTCAATCAGTGCTGAGGATCCGGATTTGGATCCGTGAAAACATTTTGATCCCCGGGGCCAACTATCAACCGAAACCGAAAATAGGAATCTTAAAAATGTTTATGGCTTAAATCCAGAAATTCCAGATCCAGGATCTGCCTCAAAATTAAATGGATCCTAAATATTGTAATTTCAATTTTATGACCTTCCTTTAGGTTTTATACCATAAGCTACAAATCATATCTCATTTTTTTAATTAACCAAAAATGATTTGATATTCTAGGCTGAAGCCGCTGGCAGACCGAATACTAGTGAACTATATTCAGTTCTTGAAGGGTTGTATCTCTAGTAAATCAGGAATACTTGATCTCACTGTATTAGAAGGAACTCTTATAGGTATAAAACTTACAAAATTAAAAAAAAAATTATAGAAATTTCCATTTAATCCGTTTTTATTTCAAGTTTTAAAATAGATTTTCATGAATAACTTTACTTTCTAACATAAATTAACAAACCGCATCTGTGTAAAATCGAGACCAGGGTTTGAATTTTATGAATTGGAGAGGTTGCTAAACTACCCTCGAATCCGATTCGAATCTGGAATCGGCGATTCAAGATTTGAACCGGTGGTAGGTAGTTCAGCTATCCAGTCCTAAATCATTTAATTCGTTCTCAGGATTGGAATCTGTGGGTCTGTCCTAGTGAACAATTTTTGGACCCCCTCCCCTCTCGTTATCAATTTAGCGCTGCGGCTAGGATGGGCTAGAGGGCCGAGTGCTGCGGCCACGGGTTAGGTTAAGTTAAGACACTTCCTGTCAGACCCATGTACAAAATTGATATGGGGGGGGGTGTCCAAAAATCGTTCTCTAGGAAATTACCGGAATCTGTTGAATATATATTTAGGTTTGGATTTTCTGCTGAACGGAGGGATTCTAGACCCAGAGGATGTAGAGAACCTGGAAACCCTGTATGAGGTTCTCAAGAAGATCTGTCGGATGCCAGACCACGAGGCTCAGGTCAGACAAATTGTAAAAAACGAAATAAAAATTTCACTAAACTTGTAAGAAATAAATTAAATAATTTAGCTGCCCCCCCCCCCTCCCCCCAGCACAAATTCGATGATATTTAAAAAATGGCTTTATTTAAAAATTACGTTGACAGTTTCGTTAATTTGAAGGTGAGTAGAAGAGGATCAATGCGTGCCGGACTAGAACTCTTCTCTGCACATTCCTCACTGTTCTCCAGGTACTAGATTATGTTTTGTTTGTCGACATGGAACTTCGTCTTCTGAAACTTTCAAGTTTGATATGTTAAACTGGGGGGGGGGGGTAGACTTTTATAAAACTTTATTGACGACCTAGTTATCATTTAATGCCAAAGGCTTTCAGCTTAACTTTGGTTTTCATCATGGCGTCAAATGTAGTCATTTATACGGTTAAAAATGCTGTTAGAATATAATAAAATGAAACTAAAGACAGTAATAGTTTTTCTAGTTTTTTTTTAGAAAAGTAAAATGTCAAAAATTTATTCTCTTTTTTTGCTGAAACGTATCGTCTAATGAGATGATTTGGTTTTTTTTGGGTCCTAACCATAATTAAGTCTGGAATTTATCCACGTTACTAAGCTTTTGCCACAAACTTAAATTTTGTAGTTCCTATACCTTTGCAGTTTGATGGTGTAAAACTTAGATATTTCATTGGGTGCCCTTACAGATTTAAACTTTATTTGAATATTGGTCAATTTTGTATTGGACAAGAAAGCTAAGAACTAAAGTGTCTTGAAAATGAACTGAAACCTGAACCCTGTGTGCAGGATTATTCTTGGAGATGTCAAGTTCTGGTTCCTCGAGCTAAGGAAATGGTCCAACTCCAAGAACCCGGATGATCACAAGATCGGTTGGAAATCTTTATCGGCGTTGTTCCGTTCCGTGAGAGAAGGTATCTTCTGTGTTAGAAGGAGGGGGNCAAGGGAATTTATCAAATTATAAAGTAATCAATTTCCAAATAGTTACTTAATTTTAATAATTTAATTTTTAGGTTTATCTGGGATTGATGCTAGCTCCAAGAATATCCCGTTCGTCCTCCAGTTTTTAACTGACCAGTTTCAAACAATTACCCGGAGTAAATATTCGTCCCACAAGGATATAAGCCTTGCTATCCAAGGATACGGAGAGTTTGCTGAACCTCTAGCAAGGTTCCTCTCCGAGGAGAAGTATTTAAACCTTTGTCTGGAGGTTCTCGGGCAGACAGAGCAATTTCATATTGAATCCTCCCAAGAGGAACAAGAGAAATGGAAACTTCAATTCCCAAGTCATCTTAAATCGATCGCAGTGATGATCTCATCCCTCACAACCACCTCCATCAACTTGTCCTTTTCCCTCGAGGTTCTCTCCTTCAACCTCGTGAAGAAGTTCCCAGTGCTACCTCACCAATATCATGGGTTCGCTATCCAGGCTCTGCTCCAGGTATTCCAGTGCACTGCTGTATCTGATACAATGCTGGATAATGTGATCTACCAGACCGTGATAGAATCCTGTTCTCATCCTGCTGTAGGAGAAACACAGATTCTTGATCCAGATGTTCTTACATTCAAGAAATATGTTCCGCTTTGGAACGGGATTCTTCAGTCCGGGAACAATCCTTCCCGTTCCAGAATCCTGGACTCCTTTCTGAGAAGTATATTTTTGATTGTTGATAAACTTGATCTCACGGTTGTCCATGATGGAGAGGATGAAGTCCAACCTGAACCTGAAGAGCAGAGTATGGAGATAAGTCTGACCCAAAGCGATGTCGACGCTGTCCGTTCCGTCCCAATCCCAAGCATGGCTCCGGTATTGGGTAAACGAGCTGCAGTTGTCAAGGATTACACTGTTCTGGTGAATCTGGTGGATATCTGTGTACCAGTTTTAACCAGCTGTCAGGATCTGTTAAAACCTTGGCTCCCAAGGCTCTGGTATAAGATATCCGTCTGGGCCTACGAGCACCAGGTTAATATACTCATTATATTCTTGTTCACAGCTCCTGGATTTTAAATATTTTTCCTTAGCGAACAATTTCCGAAATTGACCACAGAAACAGATTCGGTGGAAATTAAATATTTACCATCTCAGTTTTTGTCAATGTTGCAAACTCTTATATTTTCAAAATGTGTCTGGTTGGTCCTTATCAATGTATTTTTTCAGGACGTGAGTAGTTTCTACAAGTTTGCCAACAAATTGCTGGAGCTCGACCCCGTCAAATACATCGAACCCGACACTGATCTGTTTACTTTAATCCTTCAGTTCCTTCAAGAGCATCTGCAGAAATCATTGAGTTTTGATCAGGTTGAGTTGAGGATATCGGCGTTCAACCTCGTCACAAATATTCCATTGAAGTTCGTCCCCGGACTATTTTCCCTTCTCCCTGACGCTTGGAACCAGATATTTAAACTCTCCTCGAGCATCCCGGAGCTAGCAAACTCAGCCTTGAAGTCAATACATGGTTACCTTGAGACTTTTCCAGAATCAGAGTTGGAACTTATCCTGGAAAAGGTTCTGCCTAATCTCCGAGTCTATCTATCATACCAGCATCAGACCTCAGAGAATGCGGAGATAAAGATGAGGAGACGTCGTGCACCAGTTGTAAAGAGGACCCGGAGAAATCTGAAAGAATCTGAAGGAATTGCGAAGAACTATGAAGAGGAAAATTGTCAGTTAGCGCTGGGAATCCTTGCAAAGGTAAGAAGATCTTATACCTTGCTCCATTGCACAGATTTCCACCCTTTCCATGGATTTTCATTTCTCAAGAGTTCCGTTAAGCAAAAAGTAAGAATTTCGCCATTTGATTCTTTTCCTTAATTTTAAGTTTTTTAACTCTAATTTTTTTTCTGAAGGTTTCCTCTAAGCTGAAGTACCTCAGTCTCCCAACTAAAGAGGAGATAGGACGCGCTGCTGTAGTTTGGGACCAACAGAAACATCTCCTAGTAGAGGTATCTCTACGTGATGTCAACCTCCCCCTCTACCTTGATCTCCTTCTACCTATCACCCTGGACCTTGTTGAGAAGTCGGTTAACCGCAACACCCGGGTTTCCGCTGCGGAGGTCCTTCACGCCACACTCCTCTTCATGATCGGTAAAACGTCTCAGCAGACCGATGATTATGAAAAGAAGTTTCCTATGACGGAATTGTTCCGCCGAGTGTTCCCGGTTATTCTTAAGCTCTGCTCCGATCCAGATTCCGTTATCCAGGGACTTTTCCAGCCTCTCTTCTCTCAGATGATTCACTGGTTTACCAAGGAACGAAAATGTGGGAGTTTGGAAACGAACTGCTTGCTCAAGGTCCTTTTGGATACTGTATGCGAGGATGAAGACGTGTCAAGGAAGCAGGATGCTGCCGGATACATCCAGGAGTTCATGGTTTGGTCAATCAAGCAGTCAGGATCCAGTTCTAAGAATATCAACATTAAAACTGTTCTGTCTAGGTGAAAGTTATTTATTAATGTAGTTTGTAGAACAGTGGTCCCATAAACTCGCAAGTATCAAATCAAACGTATTCTTCAAAAATTGCATTAAACATTATGTATGTATATTGTATAATGTATATTGGATACTTTAAGTAACCCTGAGTGTTACATTTTATTTGATTTCATGAAGCTTTTGCATTTTTTTGCATTTCTATTTTTACATTAAACTAAAGCACACGCGCAATAGATTGGTGCCATTTGCTTAGCCTAGACAGACTCCAGGTCGAAGCTAACACGGTGTTGTATTGGTGCCTGAAGGCGGTCTAGAATTCTTACCTACTTATTTTATTTAAAAGGTTGGAGTATTTATGGAAACATCCTGATATAGGGAAGAGACTGGGAGGTAGTCTGGTGTTTAATAGTATTTATAGGTTAGTAAACATTATATAAAAGATTGATAAAGATGCAACTCAAGGTTTTGTTATGGAGAAGAGGAGTGGATTAGTATTTTAAATCTTAATAAAAATCCCCCCCTCCCCCCTTAACGTCAATAAATCGGAGGTTTGAACAAACAAATGTTTGATGTACTGGGAGGAGGGAAGGGTTTGAGGAGTGAAAATTGACAAATTTTTTCACCTTTATAGATAAATAATTTTGGCCAGGTTATTCATTTGTTTCTAAAACGTATTTTTTCCAATTCATAAATGCCTAAAAAATACTATAATGTATATATATATGGAAAAATTTGATTTTATTCAGTAAGAAGAACTATTTTTCATCAAAATATGAACTAAGCAACAAAGATTTCGTTAATCCAGGATATTCCGCGAGGAGAAGAAGCTTGTGTCTGAACATCTGCTGGTGATCCTCTCCTCCATCTTCACTGCGATCAAGATCTCCCACAACGATCCTCTGTTTTGGTAAGTTTCGTAGTTCTCTCCGGACTGCAGTGTTGACATTCTTTTAAGACGTGAATAACTTAATCCGTTGAACTACAAAAGATACGGATTAGTGATTACATAACTTAATCCGTTGAACTACAAAAGATACGGATTAGTGATTACAAAAGAGAATCTACCAATTGATTTGCTTGTTTTGTCATTAACTTCATTTTAACCATTTCTCTACTTTTATCATGTAAATTTGGACAATTAATCAGGGTGGCCAAAATGTACGGATTGTACGGATTGATTTTTTTTAACCCTAAAATTGTACGGATTGTACGGATTGTACGGATTGTACGGATTTGTTTTCAAATTGTACGGATTGTACGGATTTTATCCTGGAAAATACACCGTTTTTTTTTAAATTTCACTCATTTCAGCCAATTTTTCATGAAAATAAAAAAAAAATTCTCGTCAAAATGAAGTTAGTTTAACTTTGTTTTTCGAAAATTGTACGGATTGTACGGATTTCTTCTGAAAATGTACGGATTTTTGTACGGATGGGTTCAAAAAAGTTTTGGCCACCCTGCAATTTGGTTGTACTTCAGTTCGCAACCTGTAGTGTACTTGTGTTATCTGGTTCCGGACAAATGCTATATTACTAAAGAGAGAATGTCGAAGGAAAGGCTCAAACAAATATCAAAATTTTCCTCATTGGTGTAAGGAATTGAGTCTTTGCCACAAACTCAAATATTCTAATCCCAAGATCTTTGCAATCTGATGGTGTAAACCTTTGATATTTAAAACTTAGATTATTTGATCTTACAGAATTTATAGTTGAAATATCTAAGATTTTCGAATTTGAGTTGAAAAAATATATGGAGTTAGTCAGAGTTAGTGGCAAAGACTCAATTCCTTTGCTCAAAGATAACATACCTACTCGTCATAAAAAAAAATTCTTCCTATTCTGACAATTTTTGCAAAACGCCCGGAACGGTGAGTTTATTAAAGGATTAATGAAAATTGCAGTACGGGCCCCCTTCCATATTCCTTCTCTTAATTATTTAAAGCATGTCGCATAATTCTGGATTACTATTTTTTTTGGAATAGTTTTTTCCCGGAGTCATCTATAAATCTTTTTTGTTTCTTCTAATTGTGCATTAAGTTCTTATTAAACATTCTTATTTTATTTTTTTTTCAGCGGAACTAGCAGTGCTAGTCTTCAGAACTTGGAACACTTGAAACGCATCCTGTTTCACTACCTTCCTCTGTTCCAAACTAACCCTGGAGAAAGACGGATTCCGGTGGGGTTCTCCGGGGGCACCCTTGCACACATTCTCGACTGGTTAATTGATCTAACATTTCTGCAGCTGGTACAGATTTTTTTAAACAATAAAATATTTTTGTGAAATTTTCTTTACAATGATTGAAAGAAATGAGCTCGATTGTTTCTCTTCAATATTACTACTTAAGCTGAAGTTCTCATCTTTCATAAAATATCAAGTTTTATAAAGACATATATATAGAAAAAAGATACGTCCGTGATTACAATGAGAACTAGGAAACTGTGGAATGAATGTCGTCGTTTTTTTTATTTTCCGTACAAAATGTCTGTGAATTTTGTAATTTGCAATTTTTGGAACTATAATATCTTTTTTAGAAATAGTTCATTTCAACAACAATTCCCAAAATTTTTAGTCTGCTCATTCTAGAATTCATGCTTAATTTTCTCCAGACCGAAGCTAGACATGCTGCTATGACCTTATACCACGAAATTTGTCGCCGTACCTCTACCTCCGCTGCTCAGCCAATCCTGGAGAAGTTTGGAACAATCAACAAACTTATTCTCAGGGTTGAGCACGCTCTGACACGAACTGAGGCAGCAGGTTCCATCGTCGAGGTTCCTGGAGGTTCTTCGGGTACCTCAGGACTCAGTCTTAACACACTCATGGAGTTCCAGGCACTGTTCGAGTCCTATAACTGGATCCTAGGAAACTGCTTACATGATAACAAAAAAAAGCAGCCAGTGTGGCTCTTGTCTTTAAAAGAAAGGGGGGGGGGTTACAAGAAAGGGGAGGAGTCGGGCTTTACAAGAAAGGGGAGGGGTCGGGGTTTTACAAGAAAGGGGTGGGTGGGTCGGGGTTTACAAGAAAGGGTGGGGGGTGTCGGATATTTTTTCCAATTTATTTCTTGCAGGTTGGTTGATATTTCTTTAAAATGCTCTTTCTTAGAATATTCCCTAAAAGCTTACTGCAATTTCAGTACATAAAACAGTACAATGAACACATTTCTCTTTTAAAGGTTCTGAAATATATTGAAATCATTATTAATACGCCAACAACCCTATTTTGTAGTTCCTGTGATAATTAAAATTATCTTTGGTTTGAAATTGAAAAAATTAATAATAATAATAATTAATAATAAACGGTTACTCAGGCCAAAACATCTGCAGCATGGATGAACTGGAGAAGATTGAGAACTCGAGGATTAAAGATCTCACCAATCTCTTCATCAAGAAGGTTTACGGGACGGAGGAAATAGAACCTGAAGGGATGGATGAAAGCGGAGCTGAAGGAAAGGATCCACTATCTCCTGGAGAACGAAGACGACTGGAGAAGGAGAAAGGATGCACAATCATTAGGTTTGTTTATAACAGAAACAAAGACTTAAGATAGAAAGAGTTCAACAAAATTTGATAGACATTTTTGAAAAATAATTTTTTTAAAAATTTTCCTCCTTTAAATATAGTTATTTAGGTTGTTTACGTTTCTGACCTCAGTTCTAAAGCTGGAGAAAGGAAGAAACCTCCTCTCCGCACAGAAGGAGTTTGCCGTCCTTCTTACACAAACCATTATGGAACCGGAGAAACTCGGGTTCAACTTGAAATCCAACCAGGACGAAGATCAGTTTGTATCCTGCTATATTGAACTACTGAGAGCAGTTAGATCCTCATGGCCCGAGTATTTTAGTAAGCTGGAGAACTTTTTTACCAAGGTTTATCAAGAGGATGAATTATTTAGCCCCAACCATCTTCTGGTGGGGATTATTGATGGAAACCCCAACATGCATGCTGTCAAGACATACCTACGCCTGACTAAACACAAAATGCTTACTTCACCGTGGAATGGAGTCCAGTTGTTAAACGAACTCCTTTCTAAGCTCCCAGAGAAAACTCTAAATAAGATTTCACCGGATATTTTAAAAAACTTGGAAGTTTTTATTCAAATCATCCTTGTTGATGAATCTGATTCTGAACATATTGCCGCCCGGCTGATGGAAATAATATCCTCGGACCGGGAGAAGGATGTTTGGTTTATTAGAACCTTCTCCATGTTGTGTCACAAACCCATCCTGCTTAACATGCAGACGCTCGTCAGTAAAGGAGTTCAGTCCGGAGATATACTTCAGTCTGTTCAAATGTTAGTCAACATAATACTGAACAGAAAACAACCAGGGTTAGGAAAAGAACTAATTAGCCACGTGATGCAGCATTGGAACTCGGTGAAGGGTAGTATCAACTCCAGGACGGATATTCTCAGAACCATCTTTCTTCTCCGATCTTTATCAAAGGTTGCTGAGTTTAAGGATGAAAACACAAAGCCGGCTGTTTCCTGGTTCTGCAATCTACTCAAGAATCCTAGTATTGAACTGAAAGTAAAGTATAAAGGTTTCCAAATACTCGGATTGATGCTCCAATGTACTGATGGAAATGATATTAAAGATGCATTGCTCTCGTTCAGTTCTCTACATTTCCCAGCAACATCTACTGAGCTTGTACCCAATAGTGCTGCGTACAATCTGTACATGAGTGTATTCAGACAGCTTCTGAGAACCCTTGAGAGTACAAAATCTCCAACCCTTCTCTACTTTATTATATCCATAGCTTGTCGCGAACCTTGTCATGTATGTGAGGATGATATCCAATCTACTTTATCCAACCTGATATCCAGGTCCTCCTCAGACCAGCAGTTCGAGCTCATCACAGTTCCCTACACCATATTTATTGACGACTCCGGGTTGTTCTCAGCTCAGGTCAGGCTGTCTGCAGTCTCCAGGTTTGCTGTTCCCTCTGTCCAAACTAGTTTACCCGCAACAATCCGGAGATTTTTCTCTGAAAATATGGAAAGTTTGCTGCTTAACGTTGGTGTTGAGGTTCTAGGTTCGGAGGAGAAGCGTGCCTCTGTCCTCATCTCAAAAATTGGAACATTTCAACTCTTTGGAGTTCTTTACTCCAGACTTGATCAGAGCACTTTACACAAAGAGTGCGGTATTATTGTAGAGCAAGCTAAAGCAGTTTTTAAGAAACATTCACTCCTCCCACCCCAAAAGGACGGAAAGGATTTGGCCATATATTTACTCCCGTATTTAGGTAAGTTATTATCCCCATTCCCCACATGTAAAAAATTATTGTGGATATTGTAGTTTTTTGGGAGAGGGAAGGGGGGTTCAAAATATGCAAGCATTTAAATATTTGCAAATTGATTTTAAAGTATAATAGATGGTAACTTTTTAAACTCTCCGTACAACTGTATTCTTACGTCATAAGTGTCAAATCAGTGTTTGTGTCCGACAAATAGTTAATTCTAGTGATAATTTTAGACTAAGTGCTTTTCTAACACTGAAATAAGTGCAAATTTATGTGTTCTTTATTTTCTGTTTTACACTTTTTATATAATCTTTTAAAACATGTCAACTAATGTGAGAAAATTTCGTTTCGTTTCCATGTTATATTTGACACTGTGACGTCGTGTATAATTGGTTAATTTCTTTGTTGCCACCTATTGTACTTGATAATCTATTTAAATATTTTGTAAGTAAAATATTTAGAGGGGTTTCTTGATTTGGGATTACAAATTCATATTCAATATTTATTTTCCCACGCAACTTTACCTTTTCTTCAGGGGATTCCAGGCAGAAACTATCTGGGTTGGAAATATCGTCAGAGGTACTGAGACCGCTTTACCGTAAGTACCACTGCGCTAGGCTGAATTGTTGTATTGCCATCACATCCTGTACAAACTTTAACGTCAACGCCTACGATACTTTTATCTTCAGGGAGAATAAGAAAAAGAATCAATTTATCTGGTCTGAAATTATTGATATCTCTCAGCCTATCCATCTAGGCTTGGTCTTGGATAAAGAGTTTTTCAAGAGGAAACACCTAGTCACCGTCCGACAGTCAGACTCGAGCTCTTCTGCTTTAGGGATGGGGTACCACATGTTAATTTATCCCTCCACCCCTACCCATTTTTAAATCAAAGGGTGGGGTTTATATTTTCTTGATGAAACCCCAATTCCCTGGCTGATTAAAAAATAAATTAAAAATAATATTTCCCAAAAATGTTTGAAATTTCAGGGCCAATACTTTACGGGGTTTTATATGGTGGCTCATCTAAAACTTTCACGTTTAACTAAAATTATTATTTAAAGTTTTTTTACTTCGTTTTTAAAATGTGTTGGATTTTATTCAGAAATCATTATTTAAGAAGCAAGAACTAATTGTACCTTTATCCCAGATATTGGTTCTCAGTCTCACTACTTATCAGACTCGAGTCTAAGTCAGGATATCAGTCACTATGATTACACTGCTAGCTTAACCCAAGGAGTAACTATTGAGGTTCGTAAGGATACACCTGAGCTTGTGGAACCTATCAACTACATTGAGATTGAGGAAGATGCCCTTGGTGCTCATCCTTGCATGGCTCAATTGATTGCTGTAGCTGAACACATGACAGCTTGTAATATTTACAGTACACCAACAGAAAACTTTTCAAATACAACACTTCCTTCCTGGATGCAGTCTATCCATGATGTTCTGGTGGAAGGTAGTACTCCAAGAAATGTTAAACTTTTCATGCTCAAGTTTATTTACAACTGTAGCGAGATTTTCCTTCCATTTTGTATTAACTGGTACACACCGATTCTTGAGTGTATTGTAGACGGTACCTTAAGCCCTGAAGGTAAATTAAACTATCTCTCCCTGGACCTTCTCACCATGACACTGTACTGGTCGGAGAAAACAGGAACCGTTCCAACCCAGAACCTGGTTGTCTCCAGAATGCTAACACTGATCATGAAAAATGTGTACCATGAAGAGAAAAGAATATTCAAGGCTAACATTGAGATGATCCGCCTTGTGATTGAGAAGTGGAAAGACTGCTGTGTGGTTTCAGCAAATTTTTCTGTAATTGAAGATTTGTTGGAGGCGAATCAAGGTGATCTTTCTCATTTTGGAGCTTTAAAAGTCCTTGCTGTTTTTCTTGGACAGCAGATGTTTGATCGTGAGCGGTTGGAAACCCCGGGACTTTGCCAAAAAATCTGCCAAACGTTCACCTCTAAGAGAAAGGAGGTGTATCAAGCTGCTGGGGTGGCCACAGGTCTTTATCTTACCACCCTCCGATCTAATCAAAATGTTTTTGACAAAGTTTTAAATATTTTCCTGAAAGCCTTGTCTGACATGTCATTAAACAGTTCTGCAGATACCAGGAGCAGGTTTATCATAATCTTGCATGGTATTCAGCAATCCTACCCACAGATCTTGATTAGTCTGGCCTCCAAGTTCCAATACTCTCTGAAAACCTTGGTTGGGGAAGATCTAAGTCTCTGCCTGGAAATGATGGTATCTCATGCTTCAGAACTTTCTCAACATCCACAGGTCCTACCCACGGAGCTTAACATGATTGGATTGAAAAACTTTCTTCAAAGAAATGATCCTTCAAGTCAAAGTTTGGCACTACAGATATTTAAAAAATGTCACTCTGCTCTTGATGTTGGGGTCAGAAAAGAATACTACGAGCTACTCAAAGATTTTACTTCTAGTAAGTACACAGAACAAAGAAAGCATCTTTATGAGATTTTTAAAGATGGATATCTAGACCCAACTAATGCAGATCTCAAATCATATTGCCTGGAACAACTTATGTTTGGACTAACGGATACAGATGAAGGTTTAAGCGAATTTTGTTCCAATTTTTTTAATCTTGAGTTTTTATCTTCTGGAGACAGTTTGGATAGAATGAGAAATATCCTTCATCAGATGTATTTTCATGAGCATGAATTTGCACTGCTTGCATTCCTGCCAGCCTCAATCTTGAGTTTGGCTGCTTTAAGTCCAAACTACTCAAAAAAAGTATTCTCTGATCCTCTGGATGAATGTCATTTTATTGAATATCATGTTGACACTAACTGGAGAATGCAACACTCTGCATCCCTCATGCCAATGTATGCAGACACTCTGAGCAGCCAATCCCAAGGATCCTCTCAAACTCAGTCCTCGCTTGGAATGCTTAGAGCGACATTGGCAACTATGGAATTCAGTCAAACCCAGGCCCAAGGAAACCTAAACAACAAGACAGTTTTTCCAAACCTTTCTTCAAATGGGACTCCAATGTCAGCAAGGCCTGGCCCTGGATACCGACGATCTACAACTCCAATGAAGGTTGGTAGTCTAGTGGCTGGAAGAAGGTTTACTCAAGAACAAAAGACTGCTGGATACCAAAAATCCACCTTCTCTAAGATAGCTGAGCGTCAGAATGTTAGGAAACGGCAGTTGGAAGAAGACCAGTTAAAAGCTTCAGAAAAAAATGTTACTTTGCTCCGGAGATATAGGAAAGGTGATCTGCCTGATATACAGATACCCTATTCAGATCTTATTGCACCAATTCTTAAACTATGCAAACTGAGCCCTGAGCTATCTAAGGTTCTGTTTAGTGGTGTGATCAAAGGTTTGTTGGACGTCAACGCTGAACTCCTAAATGACGAAGGACTGGAAGAAATCATGGAAATTTTCAACAACATTTTTAATAACACTACTGTTGTAAGCACTGATTTCATTGGATGCCTTATTGATGTTTGCATTCATATGAATCCTAGTGATGTTTTGGATACCAAGAAGATATCCAATATCTGTCTAAGTCCAGGCCTGGAGCAGATTGGTATTCTCTTGCTGGAGAAATATTTAATCTACAGGAAAGATAGCGCATTTGCTGGGATGGCAAAGAAGAAAAAGATAACTTCACAAGATCAAGGTAAAGTTGAATACTTGATCCACCTTAGCGACCTCTATAGAACTGCAGGGGAGCATGAAAATGTTAAAGGGTTGTTCATACAAAATTCTCATGAAATGAATGTTCATGAAGACACAAAGTCCGCCCTAAACTTTGAGGCTAATGGTAATTGGTCTGAAGCCCTGAAGGTTTACAAAAACCTGGTGGAAAACTTGGACCTCCAGGAGAATCATCTGAAACAGGAGGTTGATATTTGGCAGAAAGGATTCTATCAATCTCAATCTAAACTTGGTAAATGGGATGCTGTGCAGACTGCAGTTTCTAAACAGTTCAATAATCTTGATGAAATATGGAATGTATCGCATAAGAGCTCTGTTCTCCAGGCATTCATGTCAAGTTCTATGCACTTATCAGTAACAAAGGATTCCAATGTTCTGGGTTACAACTTTCTTAACAATAGTCTTACGGATAAAACCAAGTCTTCTGTTCTCTCCGGGACCTGTGCATTACAACTAGCTGTTCTATTTGGAGCAAGAGGTAAGTTGTCGGATGGGCTCCGTATATGCAAAGTTGGTAAAGAGTCTAAGCGCCTTCAGTTATTTAGTCAGAATATTTTGCTTAGTGGTGATCCAATCTCTGAACTATTGAATCTGCAAGCATTTTGTGAACTAGAACAATACCTGACTCAGCTTAACCTATCCAATCCAAATAAGATTCTAAAGCTATGGGAGCAGAATGCTCCTGTCTCTAGCACTGATTTAAATGAATGGGATAACATCCTCACCACAAGATGCCTATACAATGAGAAGAGAGAGAAGAAGATGGAGGATGAGGATTCAAATCTATATGAAAAGGCTTTAGGTCGGTGTTATGCCAATCTTGCCCTGTCTGCAGTTTATCAAAAGAATGCACTCTTTGCTCAGCGATGTTTGAAGAAACTAAAACCTTTGATGGATGGTGATGTGGAGTTGGCTCAGATGAGATCTTAAATCATTTCAAAAGTTGCCATTCTGAACTTCACTACTAGAAGTGATTTAACCGCTGTGGATAACTTCTGCTTGTTATTCAAATCTATGAACAGCAGTCAACTGAGTGAAGAAAACCGAAATTTAGCTGTTTGGAATATTCATCAGAGAGATATCAATGAATGTCTGTTCACTATTGTTGATAAAAACTCCCAGTTAACCCCCTCCATTCTCAGAAGACAGATGAAGACAGATCATGACTTGATGTGGTTCTCCAGCAAGTATGGAACTGTATCAGATGATAATTCTGCTCTGAGATCAGTTCTTATGAACCAGGTACTTGAAAACTACCGTGATGCAGCAGAATCTGGAAATGCTTCCCCAGACCAAGGGAAAATGCTTCTTGAAGGATCAACTTTTGCCCACCGTCTTTTGACAGCAGAGGGCAACAGTATTGAATATGGGGAGCTATGTGTGTCATACCATCTGAAGTCCATGAAAGCTGGCTGCTTGGCTGCTAGAGAGTTATTTCCCAGGATTTTAAGCCTTGTCTTGGAAAATGACATTGCTGGAAAAACGTTTGAAGATAACTGGTCCACAGTTCCTTCATGGATGTTCTTGCCATGGAGTAATCAGCTGATCTCATGTCTTCATAATGATGAAATTAGCAAATATTTTACTCCAGTAGTTTCTAAAATGTCAGAGGATTATCCTGCTGCTGTTCTCTACCCCCTGAGATCAGCAGCATCAAACCCAGATTTATCCGACATTGCCATGCCGATATTTTATAAACTGACCGCCAAGCTGGTCGTTTCCTCGGTTCATGATAGTATCTTGCAAGGGTTGGGACTGCTTGTGTTTCCAAGTGTTGCAATCAATGATCTATTAAAATCCTGCAAAGAACTCCAGTCCAATTTCCCATCATATTGGATGCAGAAAGCCAAAGAAGAATACAAGGATTTTAAAGTCAGGTTTGTATTTTCTCTTGCTTAATATTTTTTATCAGCAACTAACTAAAGTTATCAACGATTTAAAAAAATATATTATTTAGGTATCTCTCGAAAGACCCAGATGTTGAAAGTGCGTTTAAGACGCTGGAAAAAACTTTTGGTGCAAAGCTAGATAAAGCGTTTGCTGGGTCAAAACTTCTCCAAGACCTAAAAGAAATCTATAAGGAGGCCGATGCCAAGTTCAGATATCCAAAATTCAATCCATCCCAGTTGAAGACCTTCAGTGCGTTTCTAGCTAATTTCCTGGCCTCGGACCATGTACAGACAGTAGAGGTCCCCGGGCAGTACACAGGGTTCTCACGGCCTGATACAACACGTCACATTACCATCTCCAGCTTTGAACCGGGGCTCAATGTATTCCCTTCTCTCCGGAAACCAATGAAGATTAGTATGCTTGGCAGTGACGGGAACAGATATGGGTTTCTGGTGAAGGCTGGAGAGGATCTCCGTCAGGATCAGAGAATTGAAAACCTCTTTGAAATATGTAATATTTGCCTGGCACATGAGTCTAGTTGTAGGAGCAAGGATTTGAATATTAAAACTTACAAGATTATTCCGCTGACTCCAACCCTGGGCCTTATTGAGTTTGTGCCTAACACTAAACCATTGAAAGATTTAGTTCTGTCTGATCGGAAAGCCGAGACGGAAATCTTAGAAGCAAGAAATGCGTATAAAGTTGGGAAAGAAAATACTTCCGATGATATCCGACGGAAATATGAGAAAGCAGTTGAGTTGGTGGAGAAATATCATCTTAAGAACTCAATTCTAAAGATGAGCTCCAGTATGAACGGGTTCTACTATATCAGGAAGAACTTTATCACGAGCTATGCTGTTCTCTCTGTCATGCAATGGATACTAGGTAATTCTAGCTTCTTTAAAGAATGTAGGAGTAGTTTGAAGTGATCCTCTATTTTAAGCGCTGAAACTTAAAACATTTTACAAGCAATTGCTCTTCTCAATTCTATTTCAAGTTTTTTTTTAAAGAACCAACATAATTCACATCATTTACTTACATGCCTGATTCATAACGGTATCTTCTATTTGCTTTATCTGTGTAACATTGTGGAAGATATTTTTGGTCTTTATCCCTTAAAGAGATCAATTTTGTCAATTTCCTTCCTGGTCTATGCTTCACAAGTAAAAGATTGTTATTCTAAAATCAACCTGGGTTTATCCTTGCTTAAACTACCCCGAGTTAATTTACATTCTATTTTAATATTTCATATTTGTTTAGGTATTGGTGACCGGCATTTGTCTAATTATCTGGTCTGCCAGAAGACTGGAAGGGTTGTAACTATAGATTTTGGATACGCATTCGGTATATCAACATCATTCCTTCAAATCCCGGAGCTAGTTCAGGTTCGTCTTACTCCGCAGATATTAGCAGTTATGGAACCACTCGGCACTCATGGACTTTTCAGGTTAGCGCCATTCAATCTTAATTTTAAGTTAATTGTATTCAAATGGTTTTTTGACGATTCACTTCGATTCCCTTTTAAACTGTTAAACACATGTCCGTGTTCCCGCGACATTTTTATTTATTTAATCTGAAGATTTTCACTTTATAAAGAACCAGAAAATCAGGCATTTCTAATTTCCAATTATTAATATTTAGCAGACGTATTTCTGAATTAATCAAATGCTTTTTCCAGCAAAAGAATATTCTTACATCCTAAGCATGTATCTCATTTATTAAGAGAGACGATGGTTCAAGTCCTGCGGTGTCTCCGGGAGCACCCTGAGATGTTGATCTCAGCACTCAACACCTTTCTGCAGGAACCAACCCTGGATTGGATAAGATCAGCAAACATTGAAGCCAGGTTATTAATGTTTATTATCAGATTTTTAAAGCTCTTGAAAAAATAGTTTTTATGTTATGTTTTAAATCAACTTTAAAACTCCTAAACAATCATTTTTGTGGAAAATTTTTATTTGGCGGCGTTACTTCTTGATAAAGGAGTTTAGTTTTTGCCACAAACGCTGAGTTTCAAATCTCTATATCTTTGCAACCCATTGTGTAGACCTTTGTTATTTCAAACTATGAATTCTGTTAGATCAAATGACGTAAATTTGAAATATCAAAGGTATACGCCATCGGGTTGATAAGATATAGTGATTAGAAGATTAGAGTTTGTGGCAAAAACTCATTCACTTTGATTTCGATTATGTAGATTTTTCTACATCGTTTCCCAAACATGTGAATTATTCAAGGCTGGGGTGCAATGAATAGTATAGAACAACCTGTATTAGTTTTTAATTTAAATGGTGTTTGCCAAGGAATAAGAAAATTAAGAAGAAAGAGGAAGATCATAGAGAAGAGTTTCCGAAACAACGTGTTGGGATGACCAGGTAAGAAAAACTGTTGGATTAGGTTTAAAATAAATTCTTTTATGTGTAACATTGGAGAAGGACATTCATACGCCATAGCACTCTGATTTGATTTGATTTGATTTGACAAATAATATTCGGCAAAAATTTTAAATGATTCTGTTCTCACAAATCCGAACAGCTTTTGAGGTCGTAAATTATGTACGAAAACCACCTAAGCCCTGATCTACATCGACTGAATTCAATATCCAGAGCAAAAACTTGAGTTTTAAATGGAGAGATCGGTAAAAGACAAACATTTAATATACTCAATTATTTTATACGATGCATAAGAGAATTTTTAATCAATCAATCGAGAAAAGACAGCTGACTTGTATTTCGTTATCATCATTGTCACTCTGACAGGTCAAATCTTAACTAAAACTAAAGCAATTAACTTAATACGTAGAATCACTTAGATACAGATAATGATTTTAGAAGATTTACTTTGGGTTTGGGGAGTGGGTGGAGGGCACCCTTAGAGTCTGATTTGATTAACAACCTTTGAATATATCATCAAAAGAAATACAATACAGAAGTGAAAGTCATGATATCCATTTTAATTTCGACTTTAATATTAAAGTTTTATCTGAAGAAGAGGGAAAATTTTCTTTGTGAAGGCGTAAGCTGGAAGGAGTGCATCCTAGTATTATAACCTGTGAAGAACTCCGAGCTGGAGTCGATAAATCGGATTTAAATAAACTAGTTTCTGCAGTGGAGGGGGAGAGATTGAGCACATCGGGAAAGAGAAAGGTTCGACATTTTTTTCATCGGAACCATTTTAGCTTGTTTATTCTTTGTCAATTATAAGTCCATGTTTTACTGTTTACTGAGTGACTGCTTATGAAAATTTTACATATTAAAAGAATCCTTAAAATATTGTATATATTCGATGTTCATATCCTATAAATTCTATATTCATTCTATATTCATATCTATAAGATTTGGAAGAACAAGAGGCAGAAATTACAGAAAACATTTTTTTCGCTCAAACCTTAAACTATTTGGGTAAAATAATTGGAGAAAGATTCGAGTTAAATTAGAAAAACTTGAGGGCGCAATTTATAAGCTTAGACTTGAGTTTCAATCCCTGAGTCTCAACTCTCAATTATCAATATTCAAAATTAGATCCGACTTTAAGTGTTTTTTTTTCATAAGAATTACTGTTTTTTAAACTAGACTCAACTCTAGGTAAAATGTGTTTCAACACATTTAAGGCTCGAGTCTTAATGGTGACTTAGTCTTGAGACTAATTTCTCCCTATTTATTGAAATTTCAGCATGACTTAGTTTTAGCGAACAGTTCCTTTAATATCAAATGTTCAGGATGCTCTGTGTGATGATGAGACAGGGTTGTCTCCGAGTGATCAGGTTGATATTCTGATACATCAGTCAACAGATAAAAATCTACTGGGTCGGATGTATGTTGGTTGGGATCCATTCGCCTAAACTCTATTCTTCATTCCTGCTCGAAAATACTCTTTTATCCGCTAAATCGATCTTTTGCGCCGCCATTTTCGAATTAAAGTAAATCTCTTTTTTTAAGTTTGTTTGTTACTGTACTAACTATAACAAGACCGTCTGCACGATGCTCATTGCGCAAAAGAATGTTTTTTTGCAACAAAAAACTTTTTTATCTCATGTTGTGTGATAATCTAATTAATTCTGGTGTGAAAATTGATTGTGATATTACTAGTGTTATGTCTTAAAGAGCTGTGATTGATTGACATTACCCTGTATTGCAGGCCAACGATTTTGTGATTTCAAAATTTTGATCATTTTGTCGATTATTTCAGAGCTAATAATGTCTGGTATCGCTCAAGCCCGGCTATCGGAAGAAAGGAAGGCGTGGAGGAAGGATCATCCTTTCGGGTAAGTTGGTTCTTAAGACAAGCTTGACGAGGAACGATTGATACGTTGTAATACCTCAAGGAGCGCCGTGGAATGATGAAATTTTAAGACTTATTAAATAAAATATTTGCAGGAATTAAATTTATGTTGTTTTATGTGCGAATATTGAAATTGCACAATATTTTTGTGAAAGAAAGTCCACAAGCGTAATGTTATTAAACCATGAAAGGATCTCGCTAAGACAATACAATGAAGTTACTTTTGACATATAAATAAATGAATAAATAAATCACCTGGGAGGGGAGGGGGGGGGGGAGAATAGTAAATTTGTAATTGAGAGGCAAGATGTTTTTTACATTTTTTAAACTGTTACTCCGGAAATCCATTTATTTTTCCCATTTTATCATTTGGGGAAAAAAAGATTATTCTCAAAAAGTGAGAAGACAGTATCTTTGGAGTGTGTGTGCTCATCTATGTTTGTCCAAAAATGGTTGGAATTGCTTGGTTCTATTGTTTAACATTTAGATATATCGCTCGACCGATGAAGAACGCTGATGGTTCGATGAACCTGATGCTCTGGGAGTACGCTATTCCTGGTAAGAAGGGAACCCCCTGGGAGGGAGGTCTGTACAAGGGACAGATTATCTTCAAGGATGACTATCCCAGCACTCCACCAAAGGTCAAGTTCGTCCCTCCACTTTTCCATCCCAACGTCTACCCATCAGGAACAGGTTAGTTAGTAAACATTAATTTTGGGTAACTTAGGTTTTTACTTTTTTTTAACAAAGTTTGAAGGATTTGTTAAAATTGATTAATATTTCTTGGTCGAACTGACCCGACATCTTAGTTTATTTATTAATATATGAGAATATTTTATTTTAAGATTGGTTTTATTTTTGATTATTCGATTTAATTTTTAAATATTTCATTGATTTCCTGACTTTAAAAATCTATTTTCTGTTGGTTGGTTTGGATGTGTATTAATTAAAATACATATAAATGGATTGATTGATTTATTGATTGATTGATTGATTGATTGATTGATTGATTGATGTATCTACTCAAGTCTGCTTGTCCCTGCTGGATGAGGAGAAGGATTGGCGTCCTGCCATCACCATCAAACAGATCCTTCTCGGGATTCAGGTAAAAAAAAATCATCACTAATTTTCTTTTTTCAATCATTTCATATAAATTTTAATTTGATATTAGTATTATCAAGTTTATGTTATTTCAGTTTTTGCCTCTTGTGTATTATTAAATTTCACCAAAGCTTCCTAATATAACGTAAAGAATAATTATTTTTAAAATACATTTTTAGATTTTTTTTGTTTTATTTTTATTATAACCCCGTTGTGTGCTAGGACCTACTGAACGATCCGAACATCAAGGATCCGGCCCAGGCTGAGGCGTACACCTGCTACTGTCAGAACAAGACAGAGTACGAGAAGAGAGTTCGTGCACAAGCTAGGGCCATGGCCGGAGAATAAACCGGTTCTTCTCACTACTCCAACTCCTACCCGGAGTATTACAGAGCAGTATTAACGGGTTCTTCTCTTAACTCCAACTCCTACTCGGAGTTGAAGTCAGGAGAATAACCATGTTTTTCTCCCTGATCATGCTCCTACTCGACTTCTTAGAGCATCTCTCGACGTGAATAATTCTACAATTGTTTTAGAACATTCAAGATTAATTTAGATCATGTCCATCATTCAACTATGTCAAGTATTACACACTCCTGATTTTAACGTAGAATCAGGAACTTGCTTTTAAAACTTTTTTTAGTTTTGTCATAATTTAATCTTTTTTCATTCCTCTGTACCCTTGTTGCAAAGAAAATATCAGTTCCAGATAAAGAATGAGAAATGACTGACGTGCTCCAGCCCAAGATGGCCGGCAGTGGCATTGAGTGGATTGGAACACGAACATGGAAGGCGATAAAAGACGGAACTCTGAAAACCCGATCCCTCCCTGCTGAAACTGGACGGAGACGCGATGAACCTGAGCAGGCTCCGTTTCTGAACGGGAAAAGTCGGGAAGGAACGGACGAAGTTGATGCTCTGCCAGAAACCTTGAGATATAATTGGTTCGACCTTCTCTGCACCTTAATCTCTATAGGTAGGGAACCTTATATCTTTGGGTTTTATGGTTTTTATCTGCACGGTGTGGTGCGTGGTGCCCTGAAGGCAGTCTGGGGGTTTCAGAGTTAAACTTGACTTGATTTGACAACTTGGTACGTTTCGAAAATATTTTTAATCAGCGTACTGGTGATTTAAAAAAAACTTCATTTGCATTACGAAAATAACTACAACTGTTATGGGATAATCCATAATATTTTTTGAACAAGAGAAGTAAAGATTAAGAAACTGGGGGTTTTAGATTAAATATGACTTGATTTGACAACTTGGTACGTTTCGAGAATATTTTCAATCATCCTACTGGTGATTTTCAAAAAGAACATATTCTGAAGTGTCAACTTCTCAAAATGTATAATTTAAATGGTTTTCTAATAAGTTTTATAGTCTACGGCCCTATACAGTAATTTCCATCATTTTGTGATTATTTTTGACATACTCTCGGCCTTGAATTTAGAATGCACGAAATTATGGTTGACTAAGAGGCTATTATAAATATTTTTGTTAATGTAAACATGTTTGCATATTTAGTAACGTATATAATGGATCTTGTAATGGACTGTATCGTGGCATACTACTTCTACCACCTGGCGGTGGACCATGGAATCTATCATTACTGGTATTTCGGACTCACCACCTTCTTCATTGTCTTCCCATCCCTCACCATGACCGGGTTCAGCTTCAGGGAACACATGCAAATAATATATTTTAATATCCCTAGTAATAAAAGTTTTTTTCTTTCATTTTCTGACTTAAAGTTATTATTAGTCAAGTCTTTATTGGGTCTAAGCGATACATATGAGGTTTATACAAAGTACGATCTCAGAGTTTTGAATAGAATTTATCATTTACTCGTAATTAAATAAAGGCATAATGAGTTGTACAAAATGAAAAATGATAAATGAAAACCCAAAAAATTAAAAAATTAGACACATTTTGAAAAATATTTGTCAACTTCTTTTAAGACGGCAGGAAACAATCAACAAAATATAAACTTAGGAATAAAGTAGAGTTTAAATAAAAAGGGCGTTTCACCAGAATTGAATTAGCATAAATGTACATATGGGCGTTTCACCAGAAATAAATTAGTGTAATCAGGTTCCCGAATATATTATACACGTGTTAACTTCCTATAACGTACCGGGGAACATTCAACAGATTCATAGTAATAAGATTAGTACTCAGCGTAAGTTTATCATAAAGCGGGTTTCTGGCTTAAAGTGATTGTAAGTTTAATTTCAGGGGCATGCCAGATTCACAATGGTATCCTTTAAACCTTTGACTGATTAAGGACGACAGACTTTGCCTTATTTATCTATAGAAACGCCTATAATTGTAGAACACTTTGTTAGCAAGCTGTTTTATATTTTTATGGCAGATTAATATTTATTTTCTAGAAGTGACAGAATATAAATATTCACATAAAAAAAAGATGAAAACCGCGTTGGACAGCATAATCTAGATTTTCCAGAAATAAATGTGAAGTCATCCACGTTGAGTTCACACAATACGGTAGCTTAAATTTTATTTAATTATTGCCGGTTTCACAATTTTCATCAATTTTTATACTAATATATAAAATACATTTGTATGGTTTTAACAGATGGTATCTGCTGGATAGTGATATGAGCGTTAAGAGGGTTTCTACCCGTCGTTGGATTTTCAGACTTATCATTCTATTTTTTCAAGTAGCTCCTATTCTTAGGTAAGTTCTATTTTTTCAAGTAGCTCTATTCTTAGATAAGTTCTATTCTGTCAAGTTGCTCCTATTCTTAGTTAAATTCTATTCTGTCAAATGACTCATATTCTTGGTTAAATTCTATTCTGTCAAGTAGCGCTCCTATTCTTGGTTAAATTCTATTCTGTCAAGTAGCTCCTATTCTTGGTTAAATTCTATTCTGTCAAGTAGCTCCTATTCTTGATTAAATTCTTTTCTGTCAAGTAGCTCCTATTCTAAGGTAAGTTCTATTCTGTCAAGTAGCTCCTATTTTTGGTTAAATTCTATTCTGTCAAGTAGCTCCTATTTTTGGTTAAATTCTATACTGTCAAGTAGCTCCTATTCTTTCTATATTGCATATATTTTAATGTACATATTTATACGAATGAATTGTTATGAATATATTAATATCAATGTTAAACAAATTTAATTAATGATGGCCTATTTTTTTAAGAAGTGAATTGTTTGTGTCATGATTTTTTCTTCTTTTCTTTGTTTGTTTCAAACCTAAATTGTCCACTACACCATTTAATGTATATTGTACACTGTACACTGTACAGTGTACACTGCATACTGTACATTTATTCAGGTACATCGATAGTATACGGTACGGGTTGCTGAGTAGAATGGAAAAGTGTAAGGAGGAGAGAGCAGTAAATAACATTGAGAAAGCAAAACATAGAAAGGTAATACTAAATGAAGTAAGATACCTTAAAACTATACAATTGGACTTTTGAAGAAACTCAACTGTCATTTTTAACCATGAACAAATGAACTAAAAAGCTTTCAAACTTATTTTGATGTTCCTTTAAAATTCAGGGTCTGGATATAAATGAAATATTATTAAGGCCCGTATCAAGTACTACACCTTGATGGTGTACGAGGATGCTGATGCTACCCTGCTCCGTCTCTTCGAGTCCTTCATGGAGTCCGCCCCACAGCTGGTTCTACAGATATATATACTTATCAAGGATCCACATGCTAACAGGAAAACCGGGTCTAAAGTTAAAACATATTTTTTTCTAATTAATTTCCCCTTTCTGACAGATTTCATTTTTGTATGAAGATGTATCTTCATTTTTTTTCAAACCTATGAAGTCTTTTTAAGTGTTGAATTCTGATTTTAGCCTAAGAAGTTTTGAATTTAGATTAATCCTTATAATGGCTGAATTCTTTAATTTATCCTAGAACCGGGTGAATTTAGGATCAATAATGCGCAATTGATCGATGAAGGAATTGATCCTTATCTAAAGCTGACAATCCTCGTCCTGTCCGTAACCTCCAGCCTGGTATCACTAGCCTGGTCCCTTGTTGTCTACCATAGATCACTCAGGTAGACAAGCTTTTGACGGAGGGGAGGGGGGGGGTCTTTATCATTATTTTTTATAATCGCTTAGGAATTATAAAATTTTAAACCCCAGCAACAACAAATCATTTCCAAGACATTGTCGAGTAAGAACTAAGAACTATCAAGTTTTTCTTCAAGGTACACCTTCGATGACAAGAACAACATCACCCTGATCGGGACCCTCTTCCAGTTCCTCTGGCAGTTCGCCAGCATTACAGCCAGGGTTCTTGCACTTGCACTCTTTGCTTCAATTTTTCCTAAATGGATAGGTAAATTCTAGTCTAAGTAAAGATATATATGTAAAAACTTTCTACAAACTTAAAGCATTTTTCTCTCAAATTTTAATTTATAAAGCTTTTACTAGGACCATTTTGTGCTGCGCACTGGCTCGTCATGTCCTCATGGATCATCTTCCAACGCACGCACGCTTGTAACTCGCACTTTGAAGAGTTTCTGTTTGCTCTCGTTCTCGGAGCAATCTACATCTTCTCCTTCTTCAACGCCAAGGAAGAGCAGACGAGATACAAGTATCTGATGTACTTCACCTTCTCCTTCCTGGAGAACTCCGCCCTGCTGGGGATTTGGTTCTGGAAGGTTGAGAAGACGGCCTGGTATGTATTCCCAGCCTTGTTCGGGCACTACTTTGCCTTCTTCGGGGGGATAATGTTCATGCTGTGCTACTACGTGTGGTTCCATCCAACCGGGATTGAGATGCCTTTCTTCAAGTTTCTTCAAGGAGATCAGGTATAAACCAGTTTGTCATTCCCATCAGGTAAACTACAGCCTCAATTACACATTAAATTTCTACAAAAAATAATGTCGTTAAATCATCTTTAAATTGTCTAAATCTTATATATATTTAAATAAAAGGCCCTACACAAAAGATTACAAAAAAATAAAAGCAAAGAAATTGAGAATAGGAAGTGAGGCTGAAAGGAAAAAATGGCGTACTGTTGTAGTTAGTAATTTTCATGTCACATAAAAGGGGAGAAGATTGGAAGACACAGCTCGTCAAAATTATGAATAGTATAAAAAATACATTTATAATTCACAGGAAGAGCAGAGAAAAATTTTTGTTATCAGCACTTATTTACATGAAAGACATTTAGAACTGAAAGCATTTAATTGTTGAACCGAAATGTAACCTTGTTCATTGTTCAGAGAGCAAGAGAAGCTAATAAAGGAGAGAAGGCTAAAGGAGATGTTGGTCCGATTACTATGCAGTCTCTGGTTGCCTCGGATCTGGAACCAGTAGAGGAGGATATAAGAACCAGCGCCTCATCACCGGACCTAAAACCGGTAAACAAATCTAAATACAAAAATTTAATCTAAAACTTTTTAAGAGTTAAGAAAAATATTTACTAAAGGACTCTTACGCTCCTTACGCCACTGCCACAGTCCTTAAGGTTGCAGATGTGCAGGCGCGCCGCCATTAGTCTTACCTCAATCTAAATTTCACTTCACCAACTGTAAGTGTGAAAATCCCGCAAATTCTAACATAACAAATAAGCACTATCCGTGATAATAATAATAAAGATGATTCTTTGAAAAAAGAAGTTTGACGTTAAAAGTTGTTGATGTTGAGAGTGTTTAAATATTTTAACTGACCTATTTCTAGGATACCGTCGACGGGACGGCTGGTTTAAATCTAGATCGTCTCCGGCGTTCTTACAGTGTTCCTCCGAGAGCTAGAGAGTTGATGGCAACTCGTAAACTCAAGTACATGGGTCAACTCTCACAGGATTCAGTTTAACATTAGTTTTTCTATTAATAATCTTTAGAGGCGGATGCAGGGAGGGGGGATTGAGGAGAAAAATCTATGGTTTCCAGGGTTTTCAGCCCCTAACAAGTGCTGAGCCCTCCCCCCCCCCCTTCTGGAAAGAATAAAAATGTAAATAAAAATTTCCTGTGTACGCCCCTGATTATCTCCACCAAATGCACGAATGAAAATTATTTTTTACATCGAACAAAATTAACCGAATTTTTTACTCAATTGATCTGCTGGAAATCAAATGAAACGATCTGATAGCAAAAAAGTTTAAAACCATATTAATTGATGAATAACAAGGTTAATTGGAAAAATATTTGATTTAAACTTGAAAGGATTTAGAAAATTGTTTTTTTTAGGCTCATTCTATTTTGATTTGATTTTAATTAACGATTAAAATCTATAAGAGAACCATTATATATTTTTTTAAATGAACATTATTCTTCTTTGCCTTTTATGTAAAAATATACCAAAGAAACGTTTGCAAAACCGTCCAAAGCAGTTCGATAATTATAATTAGGTTAAAAAATTGAAGATCATGAACATTTTAATTTGGTTTAGGGTTCAAATTATTAAATATTTAAATACATGAATGTGGTATTTAAATTTTTTTGTATGTAATTGTTCGCAATTTAGCATCATATTCCCAAATTACGAAAAAAATCTGTTTTTAAATAAAATCAATTATCTAAGAAATGAAAATATCGACCAGTGCCTTCTACTCCGAAGAAACCCTCCAATTGTTATGCTATTTTCCTAAAGGGACTTTAGGCGTAATTTCAAGTGATCCTCCATTTGTAGAGTCACGTGACAGCAATTCAACCGTAATTCGAATGATTTACACACGAAGCGCTATCTACTCGATGAACAGTAAAATGTTTGATGGCACCGCTTTAAATCGGGCATTGCAATCTTTGCTTGGATGATCACTTGAAATTACGCTTACAGTTCCTTTTAATGACGTTATATGTAATTTCTTTTGTTGATACTTCTTTTTAAGCTTCTTTGTTAATTTTTCAGATAGAAGATGAGTCGTTTAACTTGTCTGACTTGTCAGGTTGGATTCACAGATAATGAACTTCATAGAATTCATTTTAAAGGTTAGTTGACATCTTCTATACGGCCGAACCAAATGATGAAGAACCCTGGGTTGAATATGATTAGTTACGATTAAAAGAACATGCACGCTAATAAAAATTATTCCCAATTCTAATCTAAAAAAATTGTTTAATATTTATTCAAAAGTACTGAGAAGAATTAAAATTAAGTTTAAACAATACCAACCTAAATCACATGTTATTTAACATTTTTATTTGAAAGTTTTATCAATCTACCTCTTAATAATTTAAAGTTTTTGCAAACTGCAGTGGGTTATTGATTCACTCGGCGTCATCAATTGTTTCATATACTGCACTGAAAGCTCTAAAATCTGATGCATTTTAAATTTGCAATTTTTCGATTTTTTCATTCCCATTTTTCCTGGCAATTCTAATCGTGCTGTGAATTTCTTATCCTTATTCTGTGTTTATTTATCTGACACAGAAGTGCATTGTAATGGTATTTTTAAGAATCGGAATAAGATCAGAAGAGAGAAAACAAAAAGTCACATTTACAGATTTAATTTGATTTTTCGTAAAATTTTGCCCTCTAGGATTCCGTCCTTTTATTTATATACTAGCTTGGGAACCAAGCGTTGCCTAGGCTACATAGTTATTCCCCCCGTTTACCCGCACTTGGTCGATATAACCTGGAAACTTAGACTCTCAAACCCAAGCTAAGAACATTCCCGTGGTTTTCCCGAGTTTCCCAATCAAAATTTGAGGCAAATCTGTCAAGGAGTTCCTGAGTTATGATCGGACAAACAAACAGAGATTACAACTTTAGATATATAGATTAAAAAAATTGATTGTTCTGAATATTAATGATTGATTGATTTAGGGGATTGGCACAGATACAATCTGAAGAGAAAGGTTGCCAACCTGCCTATGGTGACAGCTGCTGAGTTTGAAGTGAGGAAAGAAGCGCACGAAGCGCAGGCGAAAAAGGAGAGTGGAGATGTCAAACAGCAGTCCACGTACTGTATTGCTTGCAGGTACTTTTTAATTTGCATATTTATCTAAATAATAAAGCTTTATGCTCAAATACATATATATACATGTTCGCTATACCTTGCCAAACGGCTGGTCCAAGTTGGCTTAAATTTGTAGGAAGCCCATTTTTTAATTTTGAAATTCCACGGGCAACAACGCCCAACTGGAACTTTAGCTAGTTAATCTTATATCTTAAGCGCTGAAAGTTTTAAAGAAACGTTGTTTTAGAAAAAATATAACGAACACGAAGGCTTACGAGAATCACCTGAATTCCAAGAAGCACAAGGACATGGTCCTCAAGGTCGGAGAAGAGGACTTGGGTAGGATCAAGGAGAAGGCCAAGATTGTCCTCAAGAAGGATGTGGTAGAAAAGGAGGGGGAGGAGAACGAGGATGACGAGGACGAAATGGAAGTGGAAGAGGTTGACTCCGATGAGTGGGAGGAGGAGGAGGATCCAATTCCAATTACAGATTGTGTTTTCTGTTCTCATCATTCAGCTAACCTTGACAATAATATCAAGTATTTTTTTTTACTTTTTTAAAGTTTTGAATTTAGAATTGGTGATGACTCGAAAATGTCTTCTTTTTTCTCATATATAACTTTTTTCTCCTCTTTTATATCACTTATAATGTATTTGTGCTTTTAAACTTCACAATGGTCCATGCATGTTTTGAGAAAGATTCAATTGTGAGCTTTCATCCACATTTACACTCATACATATTGCTTAACACTTTATTCTAGACATATGATGGAAGCCCATTCATTCTTCATTCCGGATCCAGAGTTTCTTATAAACATGGAGGGCTTAATTGAGTACCTTGGAGCAAAGGTAGGAATATATTTTGAGCAAAAGTCTATACTTGGAGCTAAAGTTTGTACTTATAGCTAAGATAGGAATATTCTTGAAGCAAAGGTAGGAATATACTTAGAGCAAAGGTAGGAATATGCTTGGAGCAAAGGTAGGAATATATTTCGAGCAAAGGTAGGAATATACTTGGAGCAAAGGTAGGAATATACTTGGATCGAAGGTAGCTTGGAGCTACCTTCGGGATCACAAGTGTCAATATTTAGTTCGAACAAAGTATAACATGTGTCTATATTTAGTTCGGACAAAGTGTCACGTGTCTATATTAAGATCGGACAGGGTCACATGTGTCTATATTTAGGTCGGACAGGGTCACATGTGTCTATATTTAGGTCGGACAGGGTCACATGAGTCTATATTAAGATCGGACAGGGTCACTAGTGTCTATATTTAGGTCGGACAGGGTCACATGAGTCTATATTTAGGTCGGACAGGGTCACATGAGTCTATATTAAGATCGGACAGGGTCACTAGTGTCTATATTTAGGTCGGACAGGGTCACATGAGTCTATATTTAGGTCGGACAGGGTCACATGTGTCAATATTTAGTTCGGACAGAGTATCACATGTGTCTATATTTAGATCGGACACGGTCACATGTGTCTATGTTTTTTTCGGACCGGGTCACATGTGTCTATATTTAGGTCGGACAGGGTCACATGTGTCTATATTCAGATCGGATAGGGACACATGTGTCTATATCTAGGTCGGACAGGGTCACATGTGTCTATATTTAGGTCGGACAGGGTCACATGTGTCTATATTTAGGTCGGACAGGGTCACATGTGTCTATATTTAGGTCGGACAGGGTCACATGTGTCTATATTTAGGTCGGAGAGGGTCACATGTGTCTATATTTAGGTCGGAAAGGGTCACATGTGTCTATATTTAGATCGGACAGGGTCACATGTATCTATATTGAGGTCGGACAGGGTTACATGTGCCTATATGTAGGTCGGACAGGGTCACATGTGTCTATATTTAGGTCGGACAGGGTCACATGAGTATATTTAGGTCGGACAGGGTAACATTAGTCTATATTTTGGTCGGACAGGGTCACATGAGTCTATATTTAGGTCGGACAGGGTCACATGTGTCTTTATTTAGATCGGACAGGGTCACATGAGTCTATATTTAGGTCGGACAGGGTCACATGTGTTTATGGTGCTGTGAGAAAGGAAAAGCTTTCCAAAGTCTTGGTTCTGTTCAACGCCACATGCTTGATAAAGGACATTGTAAACTCAAACACGAAGGAGAAACTCTCATAGGTTAGTTAAAACTTTGATATTACAACTAATCATACAGAGCGTGAAAATCGACTAAATATACAGCGTGACCCACAAAGAATGAGACTTGAATGACAGCCTGAAAATTTGTAAATTTGAACTTGCGTTTAGTCCTTCAAATAGTCTTGAAATTAATTTTTAAAATTTTGATAAATTAATGAACAAGGATTCAGTTGCAGAGATCTATGATTGTGAGAAATAAGACTAAATAGATTCCATACAGTAGTCTTTGAAGTCGCATCTTACTCTGTATTTTAACAGAAGAAATACAAAACGGGAAAATAATGACTTTATCATCCCAAAAGACAATTAAGAAACTAAATAACCCGAGCTGAAAACTTTAGAATGGTGGACATCAAGATTAATGCTTAAACTCCTGTTTTTACTAAACCCAAGATTATTTTAAAACGCATTTGATATACAAGAAAGAAGTTAAAAATTTATCCATTCTGAGTGTCATGTTAATATGTACTCTAACTTTTGAAAAACCGGTTTTGATTTCTGGTGTTGTGGTGTCATGCCAATTGAACTAAACAAGTTTTGGATTAATGTTTTTTAAGACTAATGTTCAAAATGACAATTTCATATTAACATGATTACATTTGTATTTGTTTAAATGCTTTAAAAGCCGGCTTGTGAAAAGCTGACTTCAATTCAGTCGATATAGCATTGTATCAGTATTTGTTATCAAACGTAAGTTTTATGCAGTAGAAAAATCCAAAAAGATGATTAAGAACAAAAACAAAAGTTTGTCCATAGGAAAATCAGATAAAACGATCGTGATCAAGGATATCTCATTCTAAAGTTTTCAGCTCAGGCCAAATACTTAATTAAAAAGTAGACCTAGAGTTCCTAGGAAGGTTTTGTCAGAGATATGATATATCATTTACATATAGTAATCTTACTTAAATTATCTGATTTTATGCATTTTCTTTCGGAAACCATGCATAATTCATTTGATTTTAGACAATTTTGTAAAAGCATTTTAAATTTAATTTTGCTTAACTTGTAAATACGTATTATCTTTTAGTTTTCTTGATATTCTGCAGATCCGTATATTCATTTAATTCTGTACAATTTTGTAGATGCGATTTTTTTTTAATTCTGTAGAATTTTGTAGACGCGATTTTTTAATTAATTCTGTAGAATTTTGTAAATGTGTTTTTTAATTTAGTTCCATTACAATTTTGTAAATGCGTATTTTAATTTAATTCTGTTTGTAAGTGCGTATTTTTATTGAACTTTTACAATTTGTTTAATGCTTTTTCTTGTTAAATTTTGCGCAACTTTTAAAATCATAATCCCTTTTAGGTTTTTTTTTGTAATTCTGTACATAGATTCGTAAATTCATTTAATTTTTTGCAAGTTCTTAAGTGCGTATATTATTAAAAAATTTTCAAGTTTGTAAATGCGTATATTTATTTCATTTTTTGCAAGTTTGTAAATGCGTATATTTATTTAATTTTTTTGCAAGTTTGTAAATGCGTATTTTATTTTCATTTTTTGCAACTTTGTAAATGCGTATATTTTTATTTATTTGCTGGTTGGTTATTGCATATTTTTATGTAGAGTATGCTGAGTACTATGATTACAGTTCAAGTTACCCTGAAGGAGAAGATGGGGAGAGTTCAGACCATTCGCAGGAAAATATTCAATCTTTAGTTCTTGAAGATCTAATGGCTTTTTGTAAACAATTAAAACCAGTTCCTTAAAAAGGAGATAACTTATCATTGGGTTTAAACCAAGGTCTTACCCCATAAATATGGGCTAGACCAATACCTAATCTAGTACGTTAAGATTGTACTTGAAGAAGACAAGGATAAAGATCTGAATGTATGGTTGAGTAGGATACTGAGGTGGATCTGGATACACTGGATGATACTGGTTTCCAGCTCGTCCTTCCTTCAGGAGCTAAAATAGGGCATAGATCCTAACTTAGGTTAGCATATGTTAATATTTTATGGGGAATGAAGGGGGGGGGGGGGGGGTACGACAAAAACGTTTGTTCGATGTTATTGGGCTAATTTAAAAAATAATAAAATATAATGAATAGGTTTTTTTAAAATGTGATTTATTGATTGTTGCAGATATTACCGACAGAGTCTAAATCCTAACCGAGACCTTGTCCCTGTTGATAAATCTACATCAGGTCGTCTTCTCAAAACCTACAGAGCATTCGGTTGGATAGGTGAGCACTCAATATCTTATTAAAGGGAGTGTACACTAATATTAAGGGGTAATGGCCCTAGTGGTCTTCGAAGAACGGTTCATATCAAATTCTTAAAAATTGCGTAAAAAGGTTTTTCTTGAAATTGGCCATTGGATCCATAGATTCAGTTCAAAAAATATCCTTACAAAATCCTGACCAACATTGTTTTATCTTTTTCCTGTTAGATTGTCTTGTTGTATTATCATATACGTCCCATTTTGCTGTAAGCTCACTGTATACAGTAATAACTAGAAAAATTCTGGAATGAACTTCGTACTTTCTTTAGTTACAACTGATATATTTCTCAAAAATATTTTGGGCAACTTTTTAGAAATAAATTTCGTCAAGTTCCCAAACATTTGATAAAAATGTAATTATTAAATTAAAGAGACTACAATCATTCTAGTTATTCTTGTTATCTCTGTTTCTACCAACTTTTTAAATGGATATTGGTAGAGGAATTAAGACAAAAATGGTCCCGGAACAAACATTAAAATGTTCAATCTACTCAACCTAATGGTCTTTAACTTTGAATGTAAAACGGATTCAATTTTTGCTATTTTTAGGAACAAATCGTGTTGAGGTTGCCAAGAAGGCGCGAGACATCAAGTTCATGCACAGAATGCAGAACAAGAACTACATGAAGCTAGGCACCAAGGCCAACAGGCTTCAAACCCACTTCCTCGACAGGAACGGCATGTGCATGTAGAATTGCAGAAATTTTTTAAATCCTTATTTTCAGATTTTAAAATGGGCACCTTGTCGAAGTCCAACATGTGCAGGTTATGCGGGTGGGAGGATGAGAAGAACATGAGGATTGAGGAGCAGGAGGTTTGCATTGTCATCAACAGCATGAACCTCCTCACCGCGAAGGTGTCGGAGTTGATCGAGCAGAACATGAACCTGATCCTAGAGACAAGTTTGGATTTACCGGACAAGATTTGTCCTGAGTGTAAAACAGGGGTTCAGGTCGGACATATTCAAAATTCCTAAGGTTTTTTTCCCGCCAAATTCAGTTTCTTGATTTTATTCCCTGCTGTCTAGTTGATTTTAAATTTTGGACATAAATTATTTTAATTATGTCAAGAAGCTTCGGTAATATTGAATTTAAGACGCAGCCTTAATCATCCTTTGTTCTAGGTTACTGCCGAGTTTTTAGCCCGGGTACGTGAAGGTCAGATCTATATACAGAAACTTTTGAAGGCTCAAGGTTCTTCATGTAGTCTAGAGAAGAGAATAAAGATGAATTGCGATGCTAAACCATCAAACCGAAGCTCAGGGAAGCGCGGCAGACCAAAGAAAGGTAAAATTTTGGACTATTAATCATATCATAAGAACCTAACAGAGCTGAAAACTCTTGTATTTGATACGCTTAATGAGGCCAGATCTGAACCGGCTTAACCACTAGATCCCATATGGGCAATTGGGGGAGCTCAACCATATTTTCATTGTATTGTAACCTGTAGGTATGACAGTCCTCTCGTGTGCAAAGCTTCAAAATTTCTCGACTTCTGGCTGTTCGAATTCTGCAATCAAACAGTCAACTGTGTAACAATCCTTGGATGTTAAGTATTCTAAGGTGGGGCATGGCTCAAATTTGGTCTTGTGGCTGAGCACTTCGCAATTACAAAGTAAACAAAAGTAGCATTAGAAGTATATTTATTATATACCTCATAAACAGAAGGCTGGGCTGAAAAACCAGGAATGGGGAGGGCTTGAAACTCCAATCCACTACAGTAGTCTTAGGCAATCCCTGCAACTTATGATTTGATTTGGGTTACACTTTCTAGGATACAAACTAAAGAATAAATTAATCTTAATAGTAATAAAAATTGGAGATCGAGCATTGATCTCGATATCCACAATTCAAAAGCTTTCAGCTCAGGTCTGTTTTTGTCAATATTAAATCTGACCTGATATAGATTGTATATAGGATGTGAGAAAATACGGCCCCCTCCCGCTCCTTCCCTTGGTAACGAGTACACTGCTTTGAAGCGACGACGAAAACCTCCAAAACATTTGGCCGAGTTCCTAGATGTTGACGGGAATGACGGAGGTCGCTTTCATGATTCCGCGGATGAGGATAATATCTTAAATATCGACGAAGATCCCACGGAGGAGTATAATCCATTGGTGAATTTAAATTAATTAAAATTATTAAGAAGTGTCCTAAAAGGCGCAATTACTAATGAAAATTAAATGATTGCAGGGGAAAGATTCAAAATTAGTTTCCTTGATTAAATTTTAAAATGTTCAGGGTAAACCGTGTGTGGATGCTACATCGAGTTCACAGAGTGCAGTGCTTTGTGTTTACAAATGTGATTTCTGTGATAATATTTTCAACGCGGAGAACGGTTTAATCAGGCACACGGAGAGTGCTCACGCTGAGTTTATGTACCGTTGTGCTTACCCAACCTGTGAACTTCTTGTTAGAAACAAAAAAGGTCAGAGCAAGTATATGAATTTTTTATTTTAGCAACCGATCATTACATGCGGGTCCCATGACTAAGAAAAACCAAGGGAAAAGGATTTATGTATAATTTTTTAATAACGGCGTACAGTATAAGAATTTATCTGGTACACTAAACAGTAAACAGCTTTTTTTGTAATCAAAGATTAGACCATTGTGAACTGTTTATTACAAATTGCTGCCTGAAATAACCCAATTCTTCAATCTTATGTTTTTACAGAGCTGATATCTCACCAGTCTAGTACAAAGCATCAGGGGATAATTACTGTATCTCTACTCCAACCTGGAGTAAACCAATCCCAACCTGATCCTTCAACCTTCTTTAGTACCTCCAAACCTGATCCTCCTGGACTCCAGTCCCTTGGGAAGAATATTCTTCTAGAGGATGATGTGGATGGTCTGGAGGAGAGTCTCCTGGCTGGAGTACAGTTCGGAGGCAACCCTGATGATCCCCTGGATGGACCTGGTCTTAGTATGGCAGATCTCGTCGCTCTACCCAGCTCCAAACCTTCTCTCAGTCGATGTTTACTCTGTGATAGTCCATTTGAACCTGGAGAAAAAGATCATGTCTGTCCCGTCCTCCTTTACAATTGTGACTCATGTCCTGAGGTGTTCAGGTCCAAGATAGCGTATAGGACGCATCTAAACAAAGTTCACAATTTGTCCGAATCCCGGATGTATGAATGTGATCAATGTACTCGAATATTCACTGCTCCGAGTAGTCTTCATTACCACAGGGATTCTACACATACCACTCTCACATACAAGTGTGAGGAGGAGGGGTGCTCTAAGGTAGTTCAAAATTTAAAGGGACTGTCACCAGTATTTAAAGCTGTCATGGATTTACAATTGTACCATTTAAATCTCTATCTTGGGAAACCAGCTTTGCCTATAAACTAAGTTTTCCACTTAAAAGTCGATCCACTCAGAATTATCGAGCAAAGCTAAGAACATTCTCGTGGTTCTACTGAGTGTACTAACCAACATTTTATGCAAATCAGGACAGGGGTTTCTGAGTTATGATAGGACAAACAAACACACAAACAGAGAATACTACTTCATTTTAAATGTATTTTCGATGATTTAGTTTTACAATAGGAATAATTTTAAGATACGTTATTTGACAACAGAATATATTCTCATGGGATAATAGGATACTGTTGTATTTTAACAGCTTATTTGAATTCGGGATAATGTGCAGAAAATAGTCCCCCATTTAGAAAAGTAAAAATTTTGTTTAATGTGATTCATCTGTTTTGCAGTATTATATTTTTATTTTTAGGTGTTTAAAGTTAAGAACCTACTTACTCGACACAAGAGGAGCCACGGGAATAAACGACCCTTTAAATGTGAAAAATGTGATAAAGGATTTAAGTCTTACAATAATTTGAAATCTCACATCAGCTCACATGAACTTACTGACAAGTCCTTCTGTGATATATGCGGACAAGCGTTTAAGCATGCTTCTAGTTTGAATCTGCACATGAGGCTCCACACTGGGGAGAAAAAGTATGTCTGCACGTTTTGTGGGAAGGTATAAATATTTGATTAGACATCCCCAACCA